ATTGTGCTGACTCCCAGATGGTTTGATAGTTCTGATTTGTTTGACAAAAGAAATACCTTGTTGCCAGTATAATGTCTCTGTTGATTACCAGGCTTCCCGCTGCCAGGTGATAAGATCCTGAAACAAGATAATCACCGAATATGAGAAATGGCAACGTTAAACTATTACCCTGACAATAACTGCAGAGAATATTTCTATTCATGTGTGTACAAATGCAAGCCGCGAATGCAATCATTTAAAATCTGTCGCTTCACGATTTTCTGGGGAGTTTTTTGTTGTTTTTTTGTGCATGCAGGAAATAATTAAACTGGAAATCCAGATTTCTTGTGTGACTTCTGAATGGATGCACATGAAGCTAGACTACTGTGCCACTCTGCACTCTTTCTCCATCTCTCCATTGCTCTCTCTCTGCCACGCATTAAAACACATTAGCCCTCCAACCCCCCAATCCCCCCCCCCCATGCGGCGCACAGGAGACAGAGCGAGAGCATGTGTACAAATGAATCAGCGCTGTTTGTTGTACTGTTTCAGACTCGAGCCATTTCGAGTAGCTTATTTGAGAGAGCTGCAGATCATGTTTAGTAAGCTTACTCTCATTATATCAGACCCTGGGGAGAGGAGGGCCCTCTCACTCCATACTATCAAAGCCACGGAGCTGCCTTAGAGGACATGCTTCAGTGTGAATAGAGGCTCTAGAGTACACACAAAAAAGTAGCATGCTCAGCCCACATCACCTCTCTCGGTGGGAAGCTGCCAACATTCAAGGTTTTGATCAGGCTTACTGTAATGGCTGTGGGTGACAGGTATACGAAACCACAGTTGAGGGAATAAATAGCTTGATTAGCATAATGCATCACCAACAAATTTAGCTTTCAGAGCCCGTGAAAGAACTACTTTCTTTTTTGGCCGACTGCAGCATTCACATACCTTCTGGGATCCTGTTTCATAGGAGAAACACAATTACATAAACAGGTATTTACCTCCGCGCCATTGGAAACTAATAAAATTTGCTTCCAGCGTGTCGCTGATACACTCGCCGCTGTTGTCTGTTATTTTTGCCTACTTTGAATAGGCTCTGTGTCTCCCATTGTCCACTAAAAGCGCATTTCTACTCTTTTCAGCAATCATAATTAACTTGATACACATATAGCACTTACCTCCAGAAATCCAAGCTGTATTGATCCATCCAGAGCAGAGCAACATCCCTATAAACAGGCTAATCTAACATAAAACGTGGCCTCTCCACATCCTGGCCTGTTGAAGCGATTTAGCTCTGTCTGGTGGCAATGAATAAATAAATAGATAAATGGAACCCACTGGGGCCCTGCAGTGCATCCCAACCATGTGCGTCGGGAAGCAACAGCTAAGAAACAGGAGATTATTTGGCGAGATATCCCTTACACTTCTGCAGGTCTTCAGCACCACAGGGTTGCGAATGGCTACGAAGTGACAGCAACTATCATCAGTCAAACGCCTGCCTCAACCCGCATCCTCCATCTGAACTTCGTGACTTTTTGCCATTCTGGCTTGTGATTAATTACGACTTTGGCTGCTTGCTGATAATCTATGTGATAATCACCAAGGGAATGACCACATTACTTGAATACGAGTCAGACCACGTTTGCTGCTTGCCTCTGTTGCCTCCTTTCCATTCCTCCTTGTTTGACTTCCTGCCAGTAGTTTGAGATTAGACCAGTAAGGGTAGTCGAGGGCTCAGATACCCTTATTTTATGTCAGGTTTACAAGCAGTTCGCTGTAACCTTTGCCAAATGCTCTCATTACACTTAGCGGGCAGCTTTTGCACCCAGAATCAGGCAGTATGTGGTGAAACACAACCTGCTCTTTGAACATTGTCTAACATATGGTTTAAGGGGACGTAGGGGAAAAGAGGATTTCCTGAGAGATTTGTTGAATTAAAAAACATATTTTTAAATGATTTTCTTTGATGAATTCTTTAAACCCACAGCTGTGTTTCCCTCCTCTCTTTGGCCATTATTAATTCATTGACATTTTGCTGGGATGGAAATTATCAGGATGTCGAGGATTGGATATGTGATTGCCTGCAGTGAACAGAGCAATGTTTGATGCGGTGCCACAACTCAATGTGCTTTCTCTCGCTATTTTCTTTCCTTCTCGTATGTTTGAATTGCTGTTTTTCTTCATTTTTGTCTTTTTTTTTTCCCAGCGGCGTGGGTTCGGGAGGCTTTTCTTTCCTATATAGTTTCACACTACAAACTGCACTAACGTTCACAAAAGTCAATGAGGAGATCTTTTTGGTGAGGCATGTTAAGCGAGCGAAGAGTAAGAAAACAGCACCATCCCTCTTAAATGCTGCATGACCTTTTGGTTCGTTTCTCAGGCATATCTGCACTTGAAACAATCAATCTTAGAGAGCATTAAGAATGTTGATCAATGGTAATCCACAGTTCTCCCTCAAGTCAGACCGAATCTTTTCATCCTTAATTTGTACTGAACAGTAATTAAACCCCGGGAGGTTTTCCTGGGCAATATGTGCCCAGTCTGAGTCAATACCCACCAACCCCCGTTTTCCCTTTTTGCCTTCCCACGCTGAACCGTGTTTTTAAATTTTTGTTTTGAAAATTACAGTCAATGTTCTGCATTTATATTACTGTGTGTGTGTATATATATATATATATATATAGCAAGTTCTTATCCAGCATTGTTTTTTAGCAGTTTGCTTATTTGGATGAAAGTACTGAGTTGCTTATCAGTGATATGTTTCCCTCTATTGACAAAGTCATCCTAATTAGAGGCCTAACCATGCATTTTATTCTTGGCCAAGTAGGATTTAATTACATTTCATTCTTATAATTAAAATGGGTTCCCATAGTAATTGTCACCTCCCATAAAATAAAAATATTGTTTTTATTAAACATAGCCTAAGCGCATAAGGAGTGCGTGATAGATTTATATCTTTGAGGGTTTTGAAACATATAGCGTGCAATTGTGAGTAATTAGAACCCCCGATACAATTGCTGATTGAAGTCTTGTTATTGATCCAGTAGTCGTTTTTGGTAATGTGCGCCACGTAGAGCAGAGGTGTTCCCACCGCAGCTCTGGCAGTGAGCTGGTAGCCTCTGGCAGATCTCTCGCCATCTGAGCTGACTGTGAATAACTCCGAAAAAGAAAAAAAAAGCAAATTGATGGGCTTGAGTAGCTGCTGTTCCAGGAGAACAAAGTGAGGAGAGCTCTCTCCAGTGATGTGGGGGTTTTGCTTTTGCATCGAAGGTGACACGAATTCAGTAATCCCTGCACTGGGGTTGTTTGTGTTATAAATGTTAATTAACATTCTGCGAAATCGAAAGTGTACTTGAATTGTCTTTTTCATCAGCCGATCTGTCACAGTTATAAAGTGTGTGTGTGTGTGTGTGTGTGTGTGTGTGTGTGTGTGTGTGTGTGTGTGTGTGTGTGTGTGTGTGTGTGTGTCGAATGGAGGCCAGGAGTCCTGGCACACTTTAGTCCCCGACCTCCTTTAATACAATTAATGATTTTGCTTACAACATCAGTGCCACAGTCATGAAAAATTGCACTAAAGCACCAAGCAACCCCAACTGATTTAGCTCAATTCATCAAGAACCTTATGCTCATTGCCAGTGTCAAACCTAGTCCCGGTATTATCGAGCGCCTTTGTAATCAAGTACCTGCCCTGAGTTCCCAGGAGGGATTATCATTTTGAACGCACAGCTCACAAAGATTTGCTTATATATATTCCACCAATGACTCTTGTTTGGGAGTTTTATAGCGTATCAGGCAATCGGAGAGAATTAAAAATCTGCCTTTACTCTATTGTTTTATCATCTATTAAATATTTGGGTTCATCTCAGGAGACAGATGCTTCAAGATCAACTCTGGGTCAAGCAGCCAAGCTGTGAAAGAAAAACGTTGGTGCTTTGAGATTGTTTTTCGATTTGTTTTCTATCTTTTGAATCATGAGATGTGATGGCCTTAAGGAGCCATTCTTTATAATGGCAGGCAAGATGGCATACAATATTGGCTAAGCTGTGAGGTGTAATATTGCGTGTTTAATCGGGAGACGGAGTTAGTTTGACAGACAGGATGTAAAAGTTGGATGAAGACAGGCATCATCAATCAACAGAGTTCTTCTTGGCATTGTAAATCACTGCAGTGCCGATGGGCATCATCTGTCGCCCCTCCTAATTTCAGGCAAAGTACGTAGCTTTATCACTTTTTACAGATGGGCTACACAGCCAGCACGCACCACTTCTTTTTGTTTATTTCCATCATCAACAACCATACACATTCGTCGGTCTCCCAGCACTGTAGCACGTAAACACAGGACATGAACACCAGTTTACCCGTCCACTGTCATCAGCAGGCGAATATTCAGTAGCACAGCAAATAAGAAAATAAAATCAAAACAAACTCCCTCGCTGGAGTAAAACAAAACAAATTCATTTACAAACCAACATCAGTGCAATTCTGTAGCATGTACAGTATGCTTCTGCAAATACTGATACTGTACGATCACATTGGGAGGGAGTGCTCAGCAGTTCAGAGTGCGCAGGGTTTTTAAGGGAAGTAAAAGTCCATAAACGGCTTCTAACACAGAATCAATGTTGATCTTTTTCACTGTAAACAAAACCAAGGCGCCAGAACAATTAGTAGTACACATCAGATGAAATGGAGCCGCTTTGCCCATGCTGTAAGTACTCCAGTGCAGACAGGTTTAGATAGAAAATCAAAGAAATCCCTTGGTCTACCATGTAGTAGTGAGTAGCCAGAAGTCCTAACGTTAACTGTAAAGATAATGGAACCTCAGTGGAGTGGGTGTAGGTGTAGAGCAACATGCTACAGAGGGGTTGTGTGGCTTATATCTAGTGCTCCCTAATCTAAGACCCCTTAAGCCCTCATTAAGTGCCCTGTTACTACAGTCAAAGAATCAATCAAGAGTCAGATTGAAACTTCTCAAATGCTTCGTACATACAACAGGAATCAGTAGTGCGTTTTTTTGGTGGTGGTGGGTGTTTTTGATGGAATCGTGACTTGAAATTTGGTGTTGGTTTTGAATGTCACACAGCCACTTTCACTTCCTTTGTGATGCCGATGATGTCGTGACATGAAATGTTCATCATACAATGTAGAATGTGAAGTATTGCTGCTCTATATGTGCCTTCTATGCAAGCATAGAAATAATAAACATACTGTAGCGTATTCATTATATATGATTTCTTTGTGGGCAGCACTGGCCACAGTTGTGGAATTATATATACATTTCAGAATGTACAATATATTACTATCTACAGGCACATTTAGTGCAAGATGTCTGCTTTTTTGTTGTTTTTTGGGAGGTTAAGACCAGTTCATTGGTGTATTTGTGTAAATCCACATCTTGAAACATATACAATATATGGTCCTACTCAAGTGGACCACTTGCTAAATTCCAAAACACATAAGACCCTTTCACAGGTCTGAGATCTGATTTTTTTTCCTGCACAATAGTGACAAAAATAAATAACAGAAGGTGACACTATGCACAAAGTGATACATTTCCCTTTTCAAAAGTGCACTGAGAATCAGCCAGAAGGTTAACCAGGTCTCGTCAAGCATAGAAGATAAGTTCTGGGATCTGCCCTCCTTGCACCCCAGTGCCGTTAGTGCTGTCTGACGAGCACTGGAATTGAAATGTTACTTTCCCGCACTGTACTTCTGTCATTCCTTCCTGTCCAAAGTAGCTCAACTCATTCCCGTCGAGAACCACGCTGGCGGTGTAGAAGGTATCTGGCTCGATCTGGACCGGATACTCAAACCACACCGGGAAAGTGTTGCTGGAACCGTCAGAGAAGTATTTGCTGAGGTTTTGTCCAAGCAGTACTCCTTGACGTTTCAGCTCAATCTTGGCGCTGTACTCTGCTGAGCCACAGCTAGATCCATACAGTCCAAACCCAGCAATGAAAACTCTTTTATCCACTGCAAACTGTATACTGTCACAGCGGCCCCGATAGCGCCACTGATTGCTTCGGTAGGCACAGGACTGGAATCTGTGGCAACGCTGGGGGGTGAGGCCCTTCCTAGGCTGACTGACAAACTGCATCTCTGGCTTCTTGGCAGCTGTATACCATAGGAAGATGTCATTGGTCTCATTAAGCGTCAGCACGCCCGACTGGGCTGCTCCATTGGCGAAATCATCCAGAGCCATCGTAGGGATACGTATCAGGTACATGGCCTTGCCCAAAACCTTACGCTTGTTGTCAGTCGATGAGGTGAGCTCTTGTCTCTGACACTCGGCCTCTGCCCAGCTAAGTGCAGCCTCAAATACCACTATCTCTTTAGCGTTGAGTGTTTCCCGCTGTAGGATACTCTCCAGGGTTTGGGCATCAATGTCGCAGAAGCCCTCTGAGCGTAACGCCAGCTCGGCCTGGGCATCAATCACTTCCCAGCAGCGCTGCGTCAGCTCTGGCTCCTCGAACAGGCAGCTCTGAGAGAGCAACACGCAGGCGTTCTTGGCACTCAGGCTGGTCTCCAGGAAGTTGACACAGGCACGTGCCAGGTGAGGGACAATGTACTTCTTGGCAGCGTAAAGAGTGGCCAACACTGTGTCAGCACTCAGGTCAATTTCATCACAGTAAATGTACCTGTTGACATAAAATAGGAATTTCTCAGCAAACACCGGAGAAATGACAAGAAAACGGCACGGTGTAAATGCGTTTTCTATGATCGTTAATTTAGATGACATGATTCAAACAATAATGCATTTGAGGTTTATTTTTAGTTTCTTATGACTGAGAGTGATTGACATTGAAGTGCTGTAAGCAAAACTTTCCTGTATCTGTTCAAAAATATTTAAGAGAGGAACGAAACGAGATTCTTGCCAGATAAAAAAAAATCGCAGCGCAAACTTATCAAACTGGCCAACATAATAGTATTCCTCCTACATCTGTGTCTACCACCTATCACAGTTTGCCTGCAAGGACAGAGAAACAAAACTCAGAAATAAAAGTGATGAAAGGAAGGCAACGAGGAGGTAGAAAAAATATCCTGGGATTCAACAGGAAAATTTGAAAGTATAATGAAATGAACAAGTACAACAGACAGATATAGATTCTGTCCCTGAGATATATAAAGAACACTTCATCTCATTTGTCTGTCAAGGCTTACTTAACAGTTTTATCTGAGATTTGCCAGAGAAATAGATACAGATCAGTCTTATCAAATTATTCTTTTTTTTAACCCATGCACCCCTTGTTCAACTAAAGCACTACGAGGTCAACGGGCCCAGTCGAAGGAAGAATTTAGAGAATCCTTACTTCAGCATTGCCAGAAATGCTGCCGGTTCCACATCTGGTATGTGGATTTCATCCTTGTTCTCAGCAAGTTCACCGTAAAACATGGCATGAAACACCGAGCTGCCCACAGCCAACACATACTGTTGAAAGAAGCAAAGAAAACAGAGTGACGGATGGGAAAAACCAAAATGAAAACAGTTTATCTGTGACGTCAGTGTAATTCATGTGACATGTACTAACATCTGGAAAATGGAGGAAGATTATTTGAAGTGGGGAATCTCAGTGCATTCACGTAGCAACACAAATCCCTTTGTGCGTTGGCAAAATCGCACCTGTTGATTTTCTCAGCGCTGCTTAGACAATTACTGTGTCCCCTCAGGGCACGGATGCAATTTTCTAATGAAGAAGACTTGTATTTGCTTGTGACACTACTGAACCGAGTGCAGCAGAAGTTCAATTTCTGAAACTAATGAGTCATCTAAATGTATGATGAAATCACATGCAACTCAATATGACTGTGTGACTAATAGTTTATTAGACAATGCTATGAATTCTGTTATTAAACCTGAGTTTAAGGTCTCTGTGTTCATGCCTGTGTTGTGCATACGTGTGTGTGTGCGTGGCACAAGTGTGTGTAGGTGGATATGTGGGTGGTATAAAGAACACAGAATTTCTCCAAAGTGAACTGCATGCGCACTAGTCGAAAATAAACCTTGCAAATCTAAGGGTTTTTGGAAACAATGCCGTTGTTTTTGTGGCTGTTGTCATACTCTGAAATTCATGCTTATTTTCATTAAGCAAGGTCAGCTGAAAGACAGATGCTCTTTGATGTGCGTTTAGAGACAAGAATCCATACGCTGCATATTGGAATAATATTATTCTCACCTTGCGGCTCTTTATTTTTTTAAAGACATCGACATAAATGACTGTTTCTACTTCCACCCTCCATCCCACTATGATAGAGCTGTTAACAAAAAGCAGATCATGAGGCATATTCAATCTCCTGCCTACTGGACACGATAGAGATTGTTGCACTGAGTGTCATATCTCGTTGCCATAATGCCTCAGCATAAAGCACAGTCGAGTCAGTGTCCTTCCATAACTGCGCTCTAAAGTACAAAGTGCATTGCAGCTACCATTCATGGATTACACATTTTGGTCCCATGTAAAGAACATTAAAAATGACCCGTGCAGAGCCATTCGGAGCCTGTTGATGTGGAAATTTGTGCACTTACAAATTCATGCGACTGTTCTAATCACAATCAAACAGCAGAAATGACTTTTAAATGATTTATGCGCTAATCATAAAAAAATAATGAGGTCAGATGGTGGACTAAACAGTCCAACAGCTGTATTTACACTAGAAATTGCATTGTCGCGTCAAACCTAAAGGATAATCAGTTAAACACAAAAGTTTGTGCAGGGTGCGAGGCGCACACATGGACGTGCCTCACTCTGCGTCTGATCATTGTTACGGTGTGTTGTTGGGGGTGTTTGATTAAAAGTTGAGTAATTGCAGAGCATTTTCATGAAAAGCTGAGCTAAAGCGGAGACAAAGACGCTCCATCCTGCGCGAAACGACCGCTGAAGAGGATAGCCCTTCCTCCTTCGCTCACTCTGTGCCTCCATCCTTCAGCCTCATTTACATAAATAATTGAGGACTGTCTCGAAAAGACACATGGTGCGGAAGTGATGGTGGAGCACAAAAGGAATCAGTTTCATTATGGCTGGCAAAGAGGAAAGATGTTTTTTTTCAAGCTTCTATGATATGAGCAACAATGGGCCAGCCTGCGTGGCTGCTTGTTTGTTCATTTTCCAGCTTTTTAGTGCAACTTCACTTGATGCTAAAATTCTTACTCTGTGTCCCGGAAGTCGCTGGGTCCTTCCAGGCTGACCCACAACAAAGTGAACATCTGCCATCAGCTCATTGTTGAACATCACAGAATTTCTACAAAGGGAAAGAAAAAAAAGGAGGGAGCGGGAGGAGGGTACAAACAGAAAATTAGGTGATTTTAAGGCACATTAAGGATTTTCTTTCTGTTTAATTTAACCTTTTACCAAATAGGGATTGTAGCTTTTAGCAGAAATTAAACCAAATATCATACATCACATTTACTCTGATCTTTCCTGTTATTCTAAACACTCTAAACACAAGTTTTATGAGTGTGCAAAGTGTGCCAGGTGCTTAAATTAAAATTTAAGTCTCGCACAGAGCAATGAAAGCTCATCATTTTTATCCTTATGTTCTTTTATTCATTCTTTCCACATAAAGACAGAGGGAGAAGATGATGAAGTCAGTGGAAAATCCCCACCGTGAAAGAATGGGACCAACAATAAAGCTGCGTTCATATATTATTGAGCAGTGGAACATGTCACAGGGGTGGGTAAACAGCCCCATGATGTTCTGGAGAGACAACAAAGCCGGGTCAGAAAACACACATTTTGCACTGGACTGCTGGGATCCTTTACTGATAGGCCAAGGCAAATATTTTGCTTTTAGTACAGATCGGCCCTCTGCCTGTTGTGCATTAAAAAAACGCACTCGCTGTGACTGTCCGCCCTCTGTTGTGTCAGAGCGGCAAAGTCTGCAGGAGGCAAAGAGGGTGTAAACAGAGTTCCCCTGTCAGATGGAGGGCAGGGCAGAGATATCACCCACCCCTGCTCAAACCTACATGCACTCACAAACAAAGGCACCACCCGTCACGCCTACTACTTTAGTAGAAGTGTTTTGTTGTACATTTTTAATCGTAAGACGGGTGCAATTCAGTAAACCAATTCGACTTTATGGGACATTCTCAAATTTAATCGTCCAATTCATCTTTTTGATCTAAATGTTAATAAAACTTGCAGATTTTCCTTACCTCTCTCTTATAGTGGAGTAGAGTCCCTGCCAGTTACAGTTCTGAATTGTGTTGTTGTTGTTGAGGTTCTGCTGCTGGTACTGTTGCACTGTGGTGGTGGATGCCGGCTTTTTGGTGGGGAAAATATCCGCTGCCATCTTCTTCTTTTTCTTGCTCCTAAGTGTGATTATCTCATAACAGACTGGGGGCAGCTTGGAGCTGCCACTCGCATTCCCTTTCTTGGAGCTTTTACTTGACTTGCTTTTCACTGACTCAGGAAGCATTAAGAAGAAAGTCAGACATTTCATGTTCCTTCCCTTGGCATCGACCATGAGTGTGTTCAACTGCCGAGCAGTGAGTGTGCATGCAGAGAAAACATTCACCGGGAGCAGGCAGGTGCGATGGGGGAGCGAGGACAGCGGAGACTTGAGCTGCACTCAGCAGCGCAGCAGTCAAAGATCCTGTGCGAGGTTTGTATGACCTTTAGGGAACTAATAGAATAACTCCCTTCTCTCCTCTAAAGAGGCAGGTTCACACTGGTGATTGAAAGGCACTTTTCCTGTGTGAAGTTTGATCTGCTGACGGAGAGGCTCTTGTGGGTCCCATCCCTGTTAGTCCAGAGTGATGAGATCAGCTCTCTAAATCACTTCTTTTTCTCTCCTCTGCTCGCCTCTCTCACTCACTGCTTCGCTGAGGGTTGGCCTGACAGCTCCAGATTTAGTATAGCTGCAGTGGTCCTCAACAACGCTGTTTAATCAGTTCCTTTCATTTCGCGCTCTTACTCCTTCTGTGCTTTCCCTCCCCTCTCTGCTCTCTTTTCATGTGTTGATCTACTCGTTTTTCTCCAACACGGCCTCTTTCCCCTTCCTCTCCTCCATGGAGCAAGAGTCCTCTGCAGGATGCTGTAGCCGTGGATGCCGTGTTGCTCCGCTCTGCTCAGCCTCTCATTCTGCTGACTACAGAGGTTGAATGAGAGAGTGCAGAGAGAGAGGAGGAGGAAGAGGAGGCGGAGGAGACCCCCCCACTACCACCACCACTCCCCACCCTCTCTCAGCACAGTACATGGCTCTCTCCGGAGCTCAGCCAATGGCAACACACAGCATTCATGATTGGCTAATACAGCCTGTAGCAGCACATACTTGAATATGCAATAGTGAATGTCAATTAAACTCAATTAAAGTGACAGCCATGCCCCATAAGAATGATATATTTATCTCCGGCTTTACTGTCTGTGGTTCCTTTACATGAAGCAGCAGCATTGAGTCCAGTAAATGGAGACTATGTTATAATGCAAAAGAACAATGTAAAGTTACAGGGGCTTTTTAAGGGCAGGATTTGTCTAATTCTTGAGTGGTCTGACAATCACTCGTTATTTAAATGAGGTTTCTGTACATTTACACAAACAGTTGAATTTGAACTTCATTTTTCACCTGGGCTGCTTTGATGAGACTTCTTACCTCTGCAAAACCTTAGTAGACTTCAATCAGTAAAAGATTTACAGCATGCCCATTCATGCCAAAAACCTAGTTATACTCAGGATATTTTTGTTTGTAGAATTTGATCTTGTAACATGTTACAATGTGTAAATATCCCCAAAGCATTTAATATTTCAGTTTTAATTAATAGCTTTTTTTCTTTGCTTTTTAGTAAGAACAAAGATCTTTTCTTAGAGCCTTTTTTGTTTTGAAGTACTCAAAAGGCAAATATGTGCTTGCACTTAGGCTTCCTTGTTAGGTCATCTCTTCAGGAGAGTACATGAATCTCTGAACTCTCTACACAGTGTACAACATGATGCATATTTTCCCCTCTGCTCTTTTACGCTAGTTAGACCTGAGCACAGTGGGGATTCTGTTTAAACTGAAGGGAGGATTTAGCCGCTTGGCGGCGGTGGTGGTTTAAAATATTTCGCTGACATTCAGTATTATACAAAAGTCTTCAGCCAACCATCATTTCTTCATGTTTTGCTTCCAAGGAGCCAGACTTTCTTATATTTAAGTGGTTTTGAGCAATAGTTCTCCAGGCTTTCCGAATGTCTTTCTTATGATTTTCTTTGGACGTTGGTTGGTTGTTCACTTTTTTTCAGTCCACTCCTGGTACTTGACCATTTTCAGAGAAATCTTTCTTTTGTTTGTTTAACCACTTAATACTGACCTATGAATCATTCAAGCATAAAAAAAGCACCTAACTCAAATGATGAACTAGTGCTGTGTCTAAGCAGAACAGACAACTTAGAAAGGATCCTATTCTAAATTGCACCTTTAGGGACTTATTTCCAGCAGCCTGTCACAAAAACACATAATTTCTTCTCATTTCTTTGGTTGAATCCATGAAAAATGCCAAAGACAACACAGTTTAAAAGAAATAAAAGATTGTTTTTGCAACAAAAAAGAGAACTATTAGCAGAAAACTTGGCATATCTTGGCACAGTGTGAAATGTGTTCTTAGAAAATCTGACAAAACTGGACTAGTGGAGAACAAAAGAAGAAATGGTAGTCCTAAAAACAACATCTATATAGCCTGAAAATCATGTCCTTGACACAGGACATGAGACATCCAATGAAACATCATCAGAAATTATTTCATTGAAAGGGTAGCTGTCAAGAAGCCATCTTCAAAGAATAGTAAACAGTAGATGAATTAAAATGCATGACTCATATTTTTCCCTGCTTTTTTTGGTTTTGTTTAGTTAATCCTGAGCACAGTAGGGATTCTGTTTAAACGTCTGGGACGATTCAGTACTTTGCCGGTGGTTTAAATGGCCTTGCAGATATATATTGTGTAGCGATCCGGCGTTTAATTTCCTTTATTTCATAGCATGTTGCTGTTGCCACTCCTGCTACTGTGTACACGTACATTTATAACAGTACTATTTTAGGCAGCGCTATCACAGCTATTAAATGCTGTTCATTGGTGTAAAATAACATATTATATTTGTAAGAGTGAGAATAAAACTGACAAAAAGAACAAGATAAGGTGAATAGATTTAATAGAGAAAGTCTTCCCTGAACCACTGTCACTGTATTGATTTTTCCATAAACCTTAATTAACTGTCTTAGTGTTTGTTGCGCTGAGGAGCATTATCCCACTAAGTCCCCTCTACAGTGCACCCTGTAGAACACAGAAAATTTGCTATGGTAACATGGAGCCAACATTACAGGGCAACATACTCTCAAATTGCAGGCCACTAGAGATGTTACCCTGGTAACCACTTCCACAAGCAACAGCAGGACAGAAATGTAACATGCAGACCAACAATAGGGACAGTAAATGAAAAGGTCTAATGTATCTGTGCATCTTTTGATTTAAATATTTCACAGCAATCCAGTGTCACCACTAAACGCTACATTAAAGCTGTGTAGTGTTTTTAGGAGGCGATCTGGATAACCGGTGACAGAATACACATGTTAAAACTGACAGTTTTGTGATTTATCTGGCATCGCGATGAAGCGGCCGTACAGTACACGATAAATAGAGTGTCACTATATATCACCTTAAATGGCTTCCTGCATTCTTTAATTACATTTTCCCTCCATTCATCAGCAGAAAATGTAATCTTGTTATTCACACATTCAGCCTGGGAGTGAGAGGAGGAAATAATGATGGTGTTTGTCACAGCGTCAACATCACCTTTTTGTCTCACACTTTCTAATCACACAGTCAGCCTTTTTCACAGAAAAGGAAAACATTAACGTAGAGCAGCAATCAGCATTGTGGACAAAAATTTATAGCAGTTCTTGAATCACCGACGATTAAATGTTGATGATTTTACTCAAGAATAGGCTGACACAACAAGTCATATTTTAATCTTTAATAATTAAAAATAATTACTGATAGAGCCAGTGCCAAACGTGTTATTCTTGCGTGTTTTTGAGGTAGTAGTATGAAAGCAGTGCACTTAAAGTATTAAATCGTCTTATTTTCTTCATGCAGGTATGCGGTTTAAACATTTCCCTCATATTTTCAAGGCCCCGCGTTGCTCCAACCTCGGGTTTATCAACTTCAAAAGGCGAAGTTAATAAGCAGCAGAAGTCCAGCTGTGCCTTTGTTGATTGCTTCTTGATGACCGTACTCAATGCAACACCTTTATCTTCAAAGTAGGTATACCAGGACACCTTCATCTTCTAAGAAGTAACCGGTGCAGCCGGTGTGCAATGCATACAAGCCAGAAAAGCTGGACAAAGTAGAAACGGATACGGCAGTTGTTAGGAAGATACCTAAGTATTTGAAAGTTGCTCTTTAGCTTATTTAAATTTCCAAAAAGTTTCCTATACAGAACAAATAAACGAGAAGTGATGTGCAGGGCTACATTTTCAGAATGTAGCCAGACAACTGCATGCACTTATGCAAGAGATCAGAGTTGTAAGTTTTCGGTGTTAAAATATTAGTGAACATGAGTGATATTAATGGAGTTTTGTGGGAGGATCTAAGTATAATTTCTTCAAAACTCACTGAGTACTAGGGTCATTAATTATGTTGCGGAAGTGGCTGCTTGCCATTTGTGAGCTGGAGCACAGAGATGCTGTTCCGAGTAGTGGCAAAACTCTTCTGCAGAGAGACACCTGCTGAGAGGCTTGGCTGAGCACAGTGGAGGAAAGAGGAGGCTGCGAAATGAACTGTGATGCATGCCTGGCACACGAATGCAGGGACAGGATCCAGCAACTCGTCCAGTGCCTCCCCCCACATTCCCAGTAGCCTTCCCCCTTCTGCTGCCACTGTTAAAGCAGGCAAGGGCACCTGACAGGTGGAATTTGGGGGGGGGTGATGGCGTCTGCCCAGAGATGGGGCTTAAGGCTCCTGAAAAATAGAGCTGCTAGTCGGCGGCGTCCAGGAGTGAGCAGGCAGTCAAACACAACACAGTTTGTGTGCGTGTGTGCGTACAAGTTAAAACGCAACGTGATGCGTGTTTATGAAATTAAAACGTGTCATTTATCGATACCCTCTTTCTAATACTGCACTCTCCAGTTTTCCCTGCTTCTTCACATCGAGCATCAGAGGATTAATTTTGCCTGTCATTCCAGATTTAGCCTCTGTTGCATAATCAGCTTGTCAGAATTAGTTTTAACAATGGCACATAAAAGATTTCTTTAGAAAAACCAATCAACGTCGATTATCAAAGGGAATTTTTAACAACGTCCTGTCTAACAAATAGCCTAACACACCAGAGAAGACAACAAGACCATAGATGAGATGATAGCCTCTCCTTTGGCTCACAATCAATATGTCACAGGCAGAAGATGTATGGGGGTAATTTTACTCGCCTAGAAAGCACAGAAATACACAGAAACTGTTGGTGGGCTGGAGGAGCCAAAAGACTCTTGGATCACATGCACAGGAACAGCTGTTTTAGCATGGATACATTCCCCCACACATTTCCACTATCTGTCTTTTTCTATATGTATCTGCCTATCCTTATGCATCTGTCCCGGAGCTATGCGATTGTGTGTCTGTGCATGTCTATTCGTGTTTATGTGCACGCGCTGCTACTGCTGAGTGCGTGGACACAGTAATGACAGTGTAGAGAAGACCTTATAACCCTGGCCCACCACATGCTCACACGCTGACTCCCACACACTTTCCACCATTGCTCACTCATAACCCTCTCGCTGCTGTCACATAAAACCCAATAGCCATAATTTTCATTGTGATTAAATGTTTTGCATGTGATGTGAGATGGTCTTCGCAGATGTATTACGTATTGTGCCCTTCGGGTAATTTGGCAGTGTAGCTCAATCACGGCACTTTTTATTTGTTGTCTAGACCATTGACCTTGCAACTTATTGTCGGAAACTGTTACTGGCTTGTGTGTGTAAACCAGCTTATTGGCGCTGCATGTATTAAATTGGTAATTAAGCTGAAAGATCTTGACATTTGTGTTAGCAACTGGGAAACCTTGAAAGACCTTGATAGATGGTGTTTGGTGTGTGCGCGAGCTATGCACACCAAGCAAAACATGTATCCACCTGTTTTGCTGTACTTGAAGTT